TGAGAAAGACCAAAATATCATATTATATCTTACCTCTATTGTAAGCAGATTTCTAGAGCAATTAAAGAGTGATAAAAAGCTAAACTAGAACTACTACAATATGAGTTGGACCAAATCAGCCAATGTACAACTTATGGCTACAAATACTTTCAACAACAAACCAAACAACCTCATTCATGAAATCAGTAGCCACCATACTCAGTTATGCATGCCAAAGATCAAAAGTGTGTACCTGGAAATGGAAAGATACAAACTATGGAGAATCAGCAGTAGCAGTAGCAGATATCAACAACAATAACAGCAACAAACACAACCCAGACTTGGTAAATGAACCCAAGAGATTAACCCCAAAAGACCAATGGATCAGTAGTTTCAACAGTTTTATCAGAAATTAACCAAAAGATTTCGATGGAACAGTACTTTTCTTATTGATCCTTTGGGCAGTTTTGATCTCAGAATGTCTAAACTCTCACTCTCACAAATGTCTATATCTCAGTGTTTCTTCCCCCCTTATTCTCTAAATGTCTCTCATTTTAAAGACTAATGTTAAACCTTTTTTATTCAAATTTTTCTCACTTTTCAGCCTGTTTATTCCCTCCCATGTGCACCCCTTTAAACTTTTATCATTAGCCCATGTTGTCTCTAATTTTCCCACCTCTAAAGGTATTTAAAAGGGTGTCAGCCTTACTGCCATCTTCAATTTTTTTAACCTACCCCATGTTCTTCTCTGAATTCCCACCTCTAAAGGTACTTAAGGGCTGTTACTTCCCACTATTGATCCTTCTTTTCAATTTTTAATTAAACCTCTAAATGTGTTGACAAACTATCATGTCCACTACCAATCCCTTTGTTTCTTAATTAACTCCAACTAACCACATTACCATTATGAGGACTATTTACATGTTAAGGTTTCAAAATAGATCCAAAAGAGATGTAGAGATTTTGAAAATGAACTGAACCTGAGTCAAACATACAAACATTTATAGAATCATGTAAACCAAAATTCAAACAGAAATTGCAAACAAATTATCGTATTTAACTAAGCAGTAACTTGACATGCAATGTTCACATTTGTTGTTCTCAGCAAATTAAGACACAAACAGACTGAAACTTCATATAATAAAAGGACAAGAACATGATAAGACCGTGAATTTCAACCTATGGGAAAGGGATGAGGAGGAAGATACATAAAAGAAAAACATTGAAAAACACAGAAACACTTACCAGAATCGAACCCTTTATTCCGCTCCAAAGATCTTCCTACTCTTTTGGTTGAGACGGGCTCTAATCGTATGTTTTTGTTCGATTGAAAACACACGATTACAGCCTATTTCAACCTAAAAATCTTGAAATCTTTAATAAGCAGTGTTTTTGGGGACTCAAGGTTCAACTTTTCGATCTGAAATTCGAAAGGCTCTACGGTGATTCGAGGAAAACTATCATGGGATTTGGGACGAGGGAAGCCTGGTGGTTCAGGGGTGTGATTTTTGGGGTTGATTGGGTAAGCTAGAGTTTTTTGACTGATCTTCGATTGAAGATTCGAGGCGTTTGGCTATGATTCGAAGAGAGGTGCTTGGATATTTGGAATGGGGAGGTTTAGGGGGATCCGTGGTGTGAAGAAGGAGGTCATTGGAACCGGCGTCGCCGGGTTTAGGGGGTGGAGAGGGGTGGCGACTGCTAGGTTTTGGATTTAGGTCGTCTCTGAAGAGACGAAGGAGACTGGGTAGGGGCTTTAGGGGGGGCGGGGTGTGTTACACATATATATAAAGGTTGTGGAATTGAATCAAAATCGTTGGATAAAAAGAGATCAACGGCGTGGATCAATTCACTTATGTAAACCGGGTCATTTTGGCCGGTTGGGGGATTGGGTCGGTTACTGGGGTGGACGGGTCGGGTTGCGAGGATAATACTGGACCGTTCGATCGAATGAAACAAATGGTTCAGATCAACAAACATGAAACGGCGTCGTTTAATCGATGCTGGAGATGGACTGAACCGTTCGATCTAATGAGATCGACGGTTGAGACTTATTAGCTCTGAAACGACGTCGTTGGCTAAACTAGTGGTGGACCGGGTTTGGACTAGTTTTGGGCCTGGGAATTTAATAAAACTGGTCCAATTCCTATTTCATTCTCTTTTATTTTCTTTTCTTTTCAATTTTCTTCCTAATAAAAATACAAACCCAAATTTAATTTTGACCAACTTATCTTAAAAATATTAATTAACTCTAAGTAGTAATTATCACAAAATAACTAAACCCCAAATTAAAAGAAAACATAAAATTCGACATTAATTACTAAAATGCAAAGAATATATATTTTTTTTGAATTTTTACTTTTGCAAAATACCTAATTATTGATTAATTCAAAAGAATGTCAAATTAAATCCTAAATGCACATGCAACGTATTTTTGTATTATTCATTAATTTAACCAACGAACATACACACACAAATGCAAACAATTACAGAAAATATCACGAAAATTCACAAAATTGCACACAAAAAGAAAGATTTATTTTATTTTGAATTTTTAGGAGTGGTTCGTGCAAGGCAAAAATCACGTGCTCACAGTTGTTCGATCACTTGATGTGAATAAGGATCCATTCCGACCTCAAGAAGAGAATGAATAGCTACTTGATCCTGAAGTACCATATCTTAGTGCAATTAGTGCACTAATATATCTTGCTAATACTACAAGGCATGACATAACTTTTTCAGTTAATGTCTTAGCAAGATATAACTCTGCTCCTATAAGGAGACATTGGAATGGAATCAAACACATATTGCGATATCTAAAAGGGATTACCGACATGGGCTTATTTTATGGCAATAATTGCAGTCCCGATCTTATTGGTTATGCTGATGCTAAGTATTTATCTGACCCCCACAAGGCTCGATCTCAAACAGGTTATGTGTTTACTTGTGGAGGCACTGCCATATCTTGGCGATCGACTAAGCAATCAATTGTGGCTATTTCATCTAATCATGCTGAGATAATTGTTATTCATGAAGCAAGTCGAGAATGTGTGTGGTTGAGGTCTATAATACATCTTATTCGAGACAAATATGGTTTGAAGTGCGACAAACTGCCCATGATTTTGTATGAAGACAATGCAGCATGCATAGCTCAATTAAAGGAAGGATCCATAAAAGGAGATAGGACAAAACACATTTCACCAAAGTTATTTTTCACACATAATCTTCAAAAGAATGGTGATATCAATGTGCAACAGATTCGTTCAAGTGATAATATGGCTGATTTGTTCACAAAATCTCTACCGACGTCAACCTTCAAGAAGCTAGTACATAAGATTGAGATGCGAAGGCTCATGGATATGAAATGATGCTCTCATCAGGGGGAGTTTAATACGCGTTGCACTCTTTTTTCTCTTATAAGGTTTTGTCCCACTGGATTTTCCTTGCAAGGTTTTTAACGAGGCAACCAAAAGGGCGTATTATTAAACATGTGTACTCTTTTTCCTTTTCTAGAACTTTTTCCATTGGGTTTTATTTTAGTTAAAGTTTTAACGAGGCACATTACTTATTGAGTAGACATTCAAAGGGGAGTGTTATGAGTAGAATTGTAATTTGAGTGAATGTCTATCTTGTAGAGAGTTTTACTTTGTGGCTAAGTCATTTTTTCCCCTATAAATAGAGGGATCTTACCCCATTATAAATCATCCCAAAATTCAATACAAATTTTCTCTCTATCTTTTTTTGCAATATTGTTCTTCTACTTTTATTGTTTTATTTCAGTAAATTTTTTCTTAACGTAAGTATTCTATTTCCCCACTTTTTCTTTTAATATTTCAACCGCTGATATAACCACTTGAAAAAAATAAAATAAAAAATAGAACAACATACCAAATATTATTGGTAAATCTTGAACATTTTTTTTTTGCCATAAGTAGCTAGCTCTAAACTTTATTCTCTTTTACCGAAAGGGTCAAAAGCACATGGCTGTTTAGAAACAGACATGATAGTTGAGCTCAAGATCCTTATCTCCTTCACGGGGAAGAAGTCGGTGAGAACTAGCTACTACTTTAGACATTTGTTTTTTACACTGATCCTTTGAATAGAGCCAAGTTGTTGTATAATTAATATTCCTTTCTCACACCTTGTGAATCTGTTGACAATTTAGCTTGTGAATGTAGGCAGAGACAGATGTAACCTCCCTCATTCTTATTTTCGGAAAATCCTAATTAGAATAATTTAATAATTCCAATTTATTATAAAATAAAAAGTACTCCATTTATCTATATTATACGTATAAAATATTATAAAAATGTATATTGATACTAACATTTGTATTATTAAAAGTTAAAGCTTAACACAAAAGTTGAAAACCTTCAATTTTGACGGAAATCTAATAGTCTGTTTGGCCAAGCTTCTAAAATCAGCTTATTTTGAGAAGCGTTTTTTTCAAAAATATTTTTAAAAAAAAGTGTTTTTGGTGAAAAGCAGTTTGTGTTTGGCTAATTAATTTGAAAAGTACTTTCGAACAGTAATTAGTGTTGAGCCAAGCTTTTGAAAACTGCTTTTAAGTGTATTTTTCTCAAAAGTTCTTCTCAAAAAAATGCCTTTGGAGAGAAAACTATTTTTTTCTGCTTCTCAAAAATTGTTTCTGTTTCTTCTCAAAAATATTTTTTTTCGTCTAAAAACTTGGTCAAACACCTCAATTTTCATCTCAAGATGCTTTTGGGAAAAAAAAAAGGCTCGGCCAAATACGCTATAAGTCTAACTACTAATCCACTATCATGTAGTATAAAAATATATATTCAGTAGTAGCCGTAGTAATCATTTCAGTGAAAATGACACCACGTAAAATAGGACAAGAGGGTATAAAGAAAATGTAAAATCAAGTAATTAAATAAAATTAACAACATAAAAACAAAAGCGCTTGCTGGAAAGAAGAACGCATGGATGACATGTAGTTAGTGATAGTGAATAGACAGATTGACAAAATCTCAGTTATATATTTAATGCTTTTTACTTCTTTTACTTGACTACTACTACCACCAAAATTTTCCATTGATCTTTCATTTGCACACTTCTTCTGCTTCCTTTGTAATCTAACAATGGCGGCATTGTGCAAGAGAAATCCAAAGAGTTTAATTTTCAGTTCAGTTATGTGCTTTCTAATACAAATAACAGCTCTAAATGGACAACTTAGAGTTGGATTTTATTCACAAAGATGCCATAACGCAGAATCCATTGTTAGCTCTGTCGTAAAAGAAGCTTCCCAAAGAGAACCAAGAATGCCAGCCATGTTACTTAGACTCCATTTCCATGATTGCTTTGTTCAGGTACCTAGCTTTTTATCTTCCACTTTTTTAGTATGTCAACCTTATTCAATTTTAACCGAACATTTTTTTTAAATATTTTTAAAGGGTTGTGATGGATCAATTTTGATTGATAATGTGAAAGAACCTGAAAGAAATGCATTTGGTCACGAAGGCCTGGGGGGATTTGAAGAGATCCAGAAAGCCAAAACTCAATTGGAAGGTCAATGCCCAGGGGTGGTATCGTGTGCAGATATTGTTGCTTTAGCTGCTAGAGACGCTGTCGTCTTGGTAATGCATTAACCCACTTGAGTTATATATACACTAACATTAACTCTATTAGTTTAGTTTAATAAGGGCTAGCAGGTTAGTTATTATCTTTATTATAGGTTATTATTAATGTTTATCATAATGATTTACTTGTAGTTATCTTGTAATTAATTTGGTTGCGCAAATATTTTTTACACCGTCACTACATAAAACTTAAACTTTTGACCAAAAACTAAATTATTTTCCATACATAATTGACTCCGGATACTATTATTTCGATTTTAATTTCTTCCTTACGATTAAATGTGAAAATGTACTAATTAAGGCGGAATAGCATGTCTTTAGTCATGTGTATGACATTTTTTTTTCCTTTCAATTTCATGTTCTTTTTGTGTAATTTGAGATTATTAAGAAAGAGCTCCATGTTAGGATTACTGTGTTGTCGAATTAAGATATAAAAAAATTCCGATCTTTCGTGATATATATATAATGAATTGATGATTATGTAATTGCATTTTCTAAATTAAGAGATACTTAGTAACAGTCTAATTCTCTTTTGATACATTATGAGATATAGGCTGGTGGACCATTTTATGAAGTTGAGACAGGTAGAAGAGATGGTAGAGTATCCGATTTGTCTCTTGCAGCTGCAATGCCGGATGTGGATGACTCAATTGATGTTTTAAAAGGAAAATTCAAAAATAAAGGCTTTACTGAAAAAGAACTCGTCATTTTGAGTGGTATGATCTATTCCTTCTACTTCAATTTTATCCATTGGTATGATATATATAACCCTTCTATTTCATTTATTAAAGTTAACTTACACATACAATATAACAGGGATACTGTAATTATAGCAAGTTACATATCGTATTTATAGATTGTTAATTCCACAAGTTAACTATCTTTTTAGTGAATTACAACTTGTTTGACCAAACTGCAAAAATCAGTTTATTTTGAGAAGTGTTTTTTCTTAAAAGTGTTTTTTTGGTGAGGAGCAGTTTGTGTTTGACTAATTTATTTGAAATGCACTTCTGAATAGCAATTAGTGTTTGACCAAGCTTTTAAAAACTGCTTCTAAGTAGGGATGACAAAATGGTTTTAAAAAAATAGTTAATCACCCATATTATCCACTAAAAATGGATTGGATAGTGAAACTTTTTTAAAAACAAGTCAAATATGGATAAGAACCATATTATCCATTCAGAAAATGGATAACCAATGAGTCTAACTTTTACATTTGAAAAGCATCAAATCGGGGATTCCTCAAGTTAGGGAGACTAAGAATTCTCCCAAAAGTGATCATATGTAAAAAATCATGGATAATATAGTTACCCATATTATCCGTCGGTTAAACCGTTTTTTATCCATATTAAATATGGGTTGGGTCGGATAATTTATCCGTTTTTTCATTACCCATTTCGACTCGAACCATATCCGATCCGACCCGCCCGTTTGACACTCCTACTTCTAAGTCTATTTTTCTCAAAAGTGCTATTTCTTTTTTTAGAGAAGCTACTTTTTTCTGCTTCTCCTCAAAAATACTTTTTTCCCTCTAAAAGCTTGGCCAAACACTTCAATTTTCGAAAAAAAAATGTTTTGGCTTGGAAAAGCTTGACCAAACAAGCTATTAATCGAGTAAAAATTCCTTTGTACTTTCAGCATATAAAAATTAAACTCGTATAATAAGACAGGTAAATAGTGATGCTAATTGTAAACAGTGGCGGATCCACCTTGAGAGGTGGGGGTGCCATGCCACCCACAAGTTAGGCGAGAACTTTTAGAATCTATGTTGAAACTTTTCAGAATATTGATTAAATGTATACGCTGCCACCCGTAATATCAAACAAGAGGACGGTGCCATTGTTGGGAATTAATTTCTTAAAGTTATTCTTGTGTTTAGGCTTAGGTTCGGGTCNAACTTAAAATTATCAAAGCACCATAAATAAAAACCATGGCTCTTAATTCAAAATTCTGGCACTTATGTAAATAAAAAGTTTTACAAGATTATTCTCTTTAAAATTCTGTTAGCTTGTATATATTATATAAAAAGTGCAATTGTCCTATTGCTTGCAAGGTATAATTTCTTTTTCAAAAATATTTTTTTGCTTATGCTCTTATAGAATTAGTGTGATTCTACTATTAAAAATACTCTCACTTATGCAAAAATTTTAATAAAAAAGGCATGATTCCTTAATTGAAGGAAGATTGCTAATTTTTACTTGTGCTCATTTATTTTATATCAAATTGTGTTGATTTCTCTATTGAAAATATCGTTAAATTTAGTAAACCACCCCCAATGAACTGAAAATAGATCGAACCAAATTGAATCCAACCAATATATACTCACACTCAAACTTTATGGTCAGTGTGAGGGGTACATTAAAAGAAATGTGGCACCCGCTATCTTTAAATCCTAAATCCGCCTCTGATTGTAAACATACAGAATCATGGATACAATATAGCTATAATATCATATATTATTGTCACTATATTTTAAGTTGACATTAATTAATGCATCATGTTAAACATGTAGGGGCACATACAATTGGCACAACAGCTTGTTTTTTCATGCCTCGAAGATTATACAATTTCACTGGAAGATCAGATGCAGATCCAAGTATTAATTCTAAGTTCCTCCCAGAGTTAAGAAGCAAATGCCCCAAAAATGGAAACATAAATTTCAGAATACCTCTTGATAACGCAAGCGAACGAAAATTTGACGATCAGATTTTGCACAACATAAAGAATGGTTTCGCAGTTATAGCATCGGATGCAAGGCTTTATGACGACAAAATTACGCGAGCAGTGATCGATTCTTATCTTCAGAGAAATAAATCAATTCGTAATTCACCATCATTTGCATCGGATTTTGGTTTAACCATGATAAAGTTAGGAAGGCTTGATGTCAAGACTGGATTAGTAGGAGAGATTAGAAAGGTTTGTAATTCTTTTAATAAAATGTAATAACATTTATATTGAGATATAATATTACTTAATTAGTGTACGTGTTTGTTGTCCTCGAGAAGAATAAAATCATGTGATGTTTCCCTATAGTTTTTATTCATTAGGTTCCACGGTCTGGGACTTATGCTGGATTATCATTGAGTTGACCTGTTTCAAAATTGTTATCAATATCTATATCCAAACATGTGATTACTTATTCTAATTTTCAACTCTAATATTTCTAAAGTGCTTTTTGCCATGTAGTGCTTAAAAACTACTTAAATTTAGCTTTATCCAAACAGATACATAGTCTATTGTCGAAGTCAAAAATACGTGGGAGAAAAAGTATATTACAAGAACACAACACACATAAAAAGACTTTGGAGAACGAAGCAAGACCAACCTAATGCGGAATCATCGGATAATTCTGTCATTTCTTAAACTGAAACTATAAATATTTCAAATAATGAAGAAGAAAAGATGGGTTGACAGGGAATGTGCAACTTGGACAAGTGAGAATGGTAGAATAGTATGCTTTGTTTGAGCTCAATCAATTTTTTTCATCCTTGGCAGTTTGGACACGAGGAAGTGATGGGAGTTCTACGAAGAAAATAATTGCTCCCAAAAACAGGATTGGAAGCTCTTCAAAATGATTATTAATTTTCATAAGACTATCTTAAATTTTTAGAGCCCGTTTGATTGGTCGAAGAAGAGGTTTAATCACAATCACATATATAGTGTATTGTTTGGTTGCTTCTTTTGTTTTTCACATAACAACTTGCATAAATTATGGTTGAATATATGTACCAAAAATTGACAAAAAGGCCCTTACACACTTTAGATTTATTTCTCTTTTTATTTGAAAAAATAACATTTGTATTATTAATTTTTATATTATAATACCTTCATTACTAATCCGTGTATCACTAATCTTGCATAACTTGTTCTCTAACCAAACACACCTATAAGAGTACTTTAGTTTGCAAATAAGTTATTATTGATAGACGTTGGAGCTATAATATACTCCCTCTATCTTATATTGTGTGTCGTATTTTTTTTACACGCCCCTTAAGAAATATTAATTATAAAAGAATTGGACTATTCAACTCTTATTTATGTTTTAAGATACAATCTTTTTTTTTATTGAATATTTATTCTATTTATGTGTTATCTCCATCTTCAAGAACAATTATTTTTGTCTTGAACTTCTAAAATGATAAATAATTTGAGACAACTATTTTTAGTAAGGCAAAATGGCTTCCAGCCACTTAAACTTGCACTGATTTTTCAAGCCGGTAAACAAACTTACGCGATTTTCTATTTTGACACTGATACTTTACAAAACAATTACTAATAAGTACCGTTAACTATGCCTACGTGGAGGCAATACAACTGACGTGACGAGAGTAGGTGCAACTCATGCTTAAAAGGCGTGTGAGTATGTTAGTTTTGTTAGAAAAAGTATTAAGAATGTATTAATAATTAATAATAAAAAAATAAAAGAAGAATAAATAAATAAAGAAGCAAACCCAAACACTTCTTCAGTTCTTCCCAGCCCCTCCGTCCCCTTCTCCGATCCTCACATTACTTTTTGTTTCTTATCCTTATATTTTTTATGTTCTACACCCCATCTTCCCTCTCCATTTTTCTTCTTTATTTCTTATCATTATTGTTCTCTATTTAAAACGAATTTAGGGATTTTTCTTCTTCTACTTGGTATAAGAATTTAGAAAGGAGAAATAAAGATATAGAAGATAACCCTTAAATTTATGGGAAGCAAATCACCGGAGAAAAGAATCAGTTTTCTGATATATGAAATTGGGTCAAATCGGTCGTAAAGAATTTGATTTTCCTATTTATTTGGTCTGATTCTTCGAATCAATCAATTAGGCTCCAACCATTTGAAGTGAACAATGTCTCTCCGATAAAATGATGGTTTCTTTGTAAAGCTGGGGGAGATGGGAAATAGATATTTATTGTCAAATGGGTAGAGTTTGATCTAATCTGAAAGTGATGGATTTTGAAAGTCTCTTAGAAATGATTTTAAGAAAAATAATGAAAAGAAAATAAAGTTGACATTTTGAAGAAGAAATATGGCACATGAGGAACTTTTTTTAGTGATTAGTCAGGTGGAATGGTTTTAGTGATGGTGGAACTGGTCTTAACCTACGAAGAAGAAAGAGAAAGAAAAAAGAGAAGGAATTTTATAAATTGAAAAGGTTGGGACCCACAAATTACATGTGTCAAACATCAACAAGCTAAGCATATGATAGGTTATCCACGTCATGCAATTGCATAACACGCTCAATCTGAGGTGTTTATTAATAATTATTTTGTGAAGTATAAGGTATAATTATTTTTATCTCTTGGTAACCAGGACGTTTAGTATGAGACGGAGGAAGTACATGTAAATGTTTGGTTTACTTGAAATGTCCATAAATTTGTTCCAAAAAACAAAGCCAAACCAAAACGAAAGCTGTATGTATATTAACCTGCCAAACGACGACGTTCGCGACTTTCGTCTCCAAATTCTTCCTCGCCTTTCTGCTCACACTCACTGCTCCGCTCAGTAACAACAGCAATGGGGAGCATACACAACAGCAAGAGCAGGCTTAACACCAACACCGTAACTCCCTGCACTCGCACACACCAGATCGGAGCTCTAGCTCTCGTCGTCACCACCTTCTTCCTCACCAGAATCTTTGATCAGTCCTTCAATCCCTCCTCCTTCTCAATCCCTACTACTCCATACAGATCCAAAAACGACGTCGTAGGGTTCTCGGATTCATCAAGTGGGTCCATCTTCTGGCCGCAACGTGGATATAGGACCCACCTTTCCTTGAAGATTTACGTGTATGATGAGAACGAGATTGATGGGTTGAAGCACTTGTTGTATGGCCGTGATGAGAAGATTTCTCCTGATTCTTGCCTTAAAGGCCAATGGGGTACTCAGGTTGTTTCTCCCATCTTCCCCTGTGTTGTTATTGGGAAATTTTTTGAAGTTAAAAGGAAAATTGTAGTTTTTTGTTTGTATTACAAATAATTAGCTTCATTTTTATTTGGCCTATTGATTATGCAACTTCTAACATTTGAGCTCGGTAACACCCACATAACAGTGAGAAAATGATGATTAACTGAACATTTTACTTTCTTTGTTTTAATTATGTATTCCCTATCTCGGTTTGAAGTTGCTTTAGAATAGTTAATTTAAGGCATGAGTTTAAATTAACTGTAACATGCGTGTAAATGTGTTTATCAAAAGCTAGTAACAAAATTAGGTAACTTGAAATAACTTTCAGTCTAAATCAGATCACTGATCTTAATGCAAGAGAATGATTGGGGTGGATTTTGCCTAAGGGGTGAATTGTACATAAGAGAATATAGAAGTTACATTTTGCCCTCATATCTAAGTTCAATTATTACATTATTGAAACAATTGAAATCCTATTTATTCTTAAATGTTACCTTTTCCATATCTGACATTGAGGGATTAATATCTAAAAGTCAATGTTGTACTGAGGTGGTGAGCTGGGTTGTGTACTTTGTAACTATCTTTCTTTTTGAATTTGAAGTATTTGGTGCAAAGGAAGGGAGATTGATAAAGGAGAAACCAGAAAAGGATCTTCAGGGAACATATGCGTTATTTTGGTTAAGTGACGTCTGAGGAAATACTAAGGAGAAGCACATTTGTCCCTCTGTAACTTGAGAAATTACTTGAAATCCTTCCTTGTAATTCTCTATCTTCGTTTGAGAATTACTTGCAAAGTTACTCGAGATCCTGTCCAACCTTTCTACTCCCAATCTACTATGGCCATGGAGAAAAATCTGGAAAAATAAAGCTCCTTATAAGGTTAAGTGTTTTGTCTAGTTAGTTGCGAAGGAGGCTTGCCCAACCCAATACAATCTTCAAAGGAGACGCTTACCAGAGTGCATAAGATGTCCACTTTGTGAAGGTCAAATAGAGGAAGTCAACCATCTCTTCCTGCACTGCCACTTCACACACCAAATGTGGTTATTCTTCTTCAGTATCCTGAACATTAAATGCTCCATGCCTAAAACAAGCCTCGACTTTCTGAAGAGTTGTCACAGAAAAAAGATCTAGCAAGGCAACTATCAGTATTTGGTATTCCATCCCAGCAGCTATTTGGTGGACTCTTTGGAGGGAAAGAAACCATTGAGTTTTTGAAATTTCTACTTAATTCATCAAAGAAAAAGAAAAAGAAACCATTGAATTTTGTAGGGAAAATTTAGAATTGTAATTAGCCTTAAGCATAGTTCTATACTTCTGCTACACATCTTTTGCAAGATGGCATAGTGAATGATGTTGAAGCCATTCTTCATTTCCTTAGCTCATTGCAGTATATGCGACTATAAATCCTCTGCTGTAATTTCCGAACCAGCACTTTCTTAGTGATGGTTTTCATTAATAATTTGCTGTTTACTTATTAGAAAAAGTCCTCTATCTTTATTTCAGAATAAATAAAGAGGTTCCGATATTTTTTTTCCCTTTTATTTCTCCTTTTTTATTTCCTTAGCTTCCGAAGTTCCGGTTACAAACACGACTCTTTGTGTTAATAAATTTCTTCATCTCGGCAAGGTTTGGGGGAGAATTCACTCTCCATTTTTTCTTCTAAGTATGGACAAAATCTGAGTATCTTTATCTTGGCTCCTTTTTTTTGAGGGCAGCATAAGGAAAAACCTGCAAGAATTAGATTGTTACCTCCCCAACAATTACATGAAAATCTTTCGTTATTAGGCTGCTTGTAATTAGTCTCTAATGTTTCTCTATCTTGCTGATTTGCCCGTAGGTTAAGATACACAGGATGCTTTTGCAATCAAGGTTGCGGACTAGAAAAAAAGAAGAGGCAGATCTTTTCTTTGTGCCTGCTTATCCTAAATGTGTTAGAGTGATGGGCGGCCTGAATGACAAAGAGATTAATCAGACTTATGTGAAGGTACTAAAGAATCAGGGTCCTTAACATTACAATTATACTGTCAAGTGTCAAATAGCTTTCGAAGTTTTATTTATTGCTATAGTTCAATGATTAAGATTTTTTGCTTTGATTTCTCTCTTCAACTGCAATGTCACATTATCCATTTCCTTTCAT